AAGCTCAAAATTATGTGGGTGCAAGGGATGAATCTGAATGAATCCATACTGGGATGCATGCACCCCAAGGGGTTCACAAAATAATCCAATAGAGTACGGGGGGGGGGATGGAACTTTAATTTACTTAATTTAATTAATCTCATTCTTTAAAAAATTCTATTTTAGGGTATACTTTAGAAAGTAAATATTATTATAGTAGTCCATGTGTATAATATATAAATACTGAAATATAGATAAACTAGGCCTAAGTGTTCAAAAACTCTTACTGCTAAAGGTTGACTAAAAAATGTTTAAAGATCGCTGTCATGTATTCCCCACAGACCTGAGTATAAAAGTAGTTGTTGCATTAGAATAAAAGTGTGTAAGGATGGAAAGGAGACAGGGCTAGTGCTTTGGAGGGACTCAGGAGAGAGCCAAGCAGGAAGTCTTTCAAAGCAAAGGGATCAGACAGAGGGGGGCAAAGGGCTCAGGATGTTGATAGAAAATGAAGATTACCAATGTCACCAGAACCAGGTTCTGTGGTTTTTCTCTCCCCTTTGCTACCACCACTTTTTATACCAAGTTTGTTGAGATATAATTAAATATCAAGGTCAGTGTTGCATTCTCAACCAGTATCACTGGGGAGGGCTATTAGGAAGGGACGCATGCAGCACTCCAGTGCGATCTTTGCAGAGTCCTGATCTCTGGCAAATAGGTAGAAGAGAAAAATAGCACAGACACAATTCCATGTGTTTAGAATCTCCCTTAGAATCCTCTGAATGGTATTTAAAGATCAGGATTTTTTATTACTATCCAAAGCCAGATGTTGACTAAATTGAACAAATACTGTTACTGGCACTATGTACAAATAACTCAAATTAAGTTTATAAATAACGGGATTGTCATACCAGGGCGTGGTTAGGAACAATAGAGCAACTTAAGCAAATCAAAATTAATTCATGGGTTTCCTGCTAAGTGAGACTTTTAAAATGTAAATCTTTATTTACTTATGCCGTTCTAATAATGAAAATAATAGTTGAGTGCTTAGTGTGTGCCACAAATTACATGTAGTATTTTATTTAGTCCTTAAAACCACCTGAGAGGAATTAGCATCCTCTTCCTATAGTTGAGGAAACAGAAGCTCAGTGTTAAGTAACTTCCCTGTGTAGGAAGCATGGCTTAGTAAACAGCAGGCAGATCCTAATTCTGAACTCAGGTCTAACTCCAAAATCCATCCTTTATCCACCAGGCTACACTGCCTTCTCAACACCTCAAGACAGCTTTAAAAACTTACATTCAAGAATCATTTCATCTCAGGGCTCTTTACACGGAGTTAAGATGTCATTTAGCAAGATGTTATAAACCAGCCAATTTGACTTCTTAGAACACAGAGCAGAACACAAATGAGAACAAAACAGAAAAGTCCATCTCAGTCCAGAATCCATATTCAACTTTACTTCCTTCTCTCACAAGAAAGACTCTACGATTCTCCTTCAGAGCACTCTGCTTTTAATACACAATTTAAATAAGATGAGGGCCGGCCGAGTGGCTCAGTTGGTTAAGAGCTCGCTCAAGAGTGCAAGCTCTGAGCAACAAGGTTGCCAGTTCGATTCCTGGCCTGAGCTGAGCTGCTGCTGAGCTGCCAACAGGTGGCAGGATGGCTCAGCTAAAAAAAAAAACAAAACACCAAAAATAAGTAAATAAATAAATAAGATGAGTTATCTGGTTTTCCACCCATAGCAGGTTAGAAATAGAAAATAAGATTCAGAGAATATCAGAAGCAAGCTTAATGATAGTGAAGAGAATTTTAAAATGGGCAGATAAATGCACAAAAGGAAATAAGGATGCACAGTTGTAAAAACCAGAGACATATCTAAAAGTACAGCAGTTTAGGATAACTTAATCTAGCAGTTCTCGAACACTCTGGTCTCAGGACCTCATTACACTCTTAAACCTTTCTGAGAACCCCAAAAAGAGTCTTGTTTAATGTAAGTTATATATCAATCAATATTTGTATTAAAAATTAAAAATGAAATGCTTGAGGTATTTATTAATTTATTAAAAATAACAATAAACCCACTACTTAACATAAACATACATTTAAAAAAAAACCAAAAAGCAGTAGCTTCCAAAAAAGAAAAATTTTAGTGATATGAGTGCTATTGTTTTAGATTTTTGCAAAATGCTTTAATGTCTAGCTTAAAGACAGCTGGGTTATTTTATCTGTTTTTACATTCAATCTATTATGATATGTTGTTTTGTTTAAGTACATGAAGAAAATCCAAGATCACAAAGATACATAGTTGAAAAGGGAGAACTATTTTAACAGCCTTTTCAGAAGATCTGCAGACCACACTTTTCAAATATATATATATATAT